TACGGTTACACCGTGCATTTAGGCCGCGGCCTATACGATAGATATCTTTGTTTAACCTACAGGATAAACAAGGACATCTATCGTATAGGCCGCGGCCTAAATGCACGGTGTAAACGTAGCCACTGGTAATCAGCGAATGAAATGTAAGATTCCTAACCTAGCTGATCTTTATTATGACTACGTTTATACCGTGCGCTTAATCCGCGATCTATATGATAAGTATCTTTGTTTAACCTGCAGGATAAACAAAGACATCTATTGTATAGGCCGCGGCCTAAATGCACGGTGTAAACGTAGCCTATGTGATCTAACTAACCTTGTTTAGTGCATAAATTCAATGAATGTGGTATTGAAAGATTGAAATTAAAACAAATATCAATATTTTAGTTACATAAACATTCAAACATTCTTCCTTTTTTAATTGAACTTTACTGATTATCAGTGCCAAGTATGCTGGGTAATTAGTGATTATTCACTGATTTAGATTTAGAGAGTATATAAAATTCGGTATTTGTCAGGAGCAGGATGCGCATCGCCGCGTCACTCTTGACGCACGAAATTAACTGCGCCAGAGATGAAACTGTTTAATAATGTTCCATATTAATAATGTTCAATTCCAGAGTTGGGTAGTGCTAAGTTAAAAAGATAAAAGTTAAGTTAAAAAGTTAATTTTAACTTAACTTAGTTACATTTTGGACTCTTAACTTTATAACTTAATTTATTTACATTTTATCAATAACTATTAGCTTTTAATTTAATTTTTTTTAAGTCAATCCTCAGACATAATGGAAAGAATAAGGAATATATACAATTTAGTAATTTTATATTGTATAATCGTTACTTGTGAACAAAAATAACCAAATTCTTTATTTTAATAAATATGCTGTGAGAAATTAAAAATATGTAAAAAATGTGAAAAATTATGTAAAATGATGGTCAAACTTTTTCTTTTTTTTTTTTGGTTGTTCATTCGGACCATATTTAACTTTTAACTCCTCAATTACTTTTTTTATTAACTTAATTTTGAATTTAATTAATTTCATTATGGATTAACTTGTATTTTAATTAAGTTAAATTTTCAAAGCTGTTAACTTTAACTTAGTTAAAAAAAAAGTTAACTTACCCAACCCTGTTCATTTCTCATTTACAGAACATGGCAGTAGCGCGGCGGGAACGTATCAACTATGGGACAAGTGTCACGAGTGACATTGTGAGTCGTTTAATTGGTAAGTAAACTTACAACTTTGCATTTGTCATTTACTGCAATAGTTAATTATCGTGTAATATAGATTCGGTATGCGTACACTAATATTTGTTCGAATGCGTATTTCGCAATACTCGTTCGATCGAAAATCAATTGCATAACATTGCCGCATCGCTTTTGATGCGTGAAATTGGTCACGCAAGAAACGAAGTTGTTTCACCATATTAATAGCGTTTACTTTTCATTTACAGAATATGACACAGAACGGATTGGCTCTGAGACAAATGCAGGCGTCGCGTTTAATTGGTAAGCAAAACTTGTAGTATAATTTTCCATTTATTTTCAATAACATTTAAATATCGCGTAATATAGATTCGTAGCACTTGTACTATGATAATTCGGTCGCAAATATGTATTCAGTCGAAAATCAAGAGTAGCCAAACCAACACGCGCTCTTGATGTTGATTATGCGAAAAATCCCTTTTTTATCTATTACATTATATATTTTATCATTATGTTTTACTTGTAGATTGTGGCAGACACGGAACAGACTGGTTTCGAGACAAGTGGTAACAAGACTCGATCAAATGGTAATTAAAATTACATTGCAATATTTAAGAATAGCATAATTAATAGATTCTGTATTCGTGACGCCAAGAACGGAATGTGCAGCTAAGCGATCATTTTATTCTAATAATTAATTAAAATTGCCCACAAATGTAACCAAGAATTTATTTGTTGTAGCGAAATTGTTACGTGAGTACCGTATTAAAAAATAATAAGAAAAAAGGGGAAAAGAAAAGTAGCTAGAAATGACGACGGACCACGAGGTGAGCATTTTGTGATATATTTTATTCTTCGTTACTGGTGGAAATAATTGTTTGTTTGCATAATACATTATTTTAAATCGCAGTAATATAATATGCTGAAATATTACTTTAGATATATTATTTTTTAGATATATTATTTTTTAGCATATTACACACAAAGAATTCTGAAAGATGATTGCCTTTGATCCAATTACGGTAAAATCATTTTTCTGAAAAAGGTTTTAAATTTAAACAATCATGAATTTTCATTTTAAGTGTAATATTCATAATTTTTGTATCGCAGTAGCTTTATAAGTGTCAAGATTTTTTTCAACACATGAATTGGTGGTGTAGAAATGCTTTCAGAACATCGTAGAGTAGCTTAAAATATGACCCGGTAAAAAATTTATCATGCATGAATATGTATAATTATGTATAAACATATATAAACATGTATAAATATTCATAAACATACATAATTTTATATGAAATATAATCCATACATCCTTTTTTCTCTTGTAAAATTACTTTTTAGTGTAATAGAAATAATAATAGCAATGTGAAAACATTAAAAATAATTAAAAGGGTAATTTTTGCACTATTTGTTTTAGAAAAAATCAAGTTTGAAAAAATGTAAAAAAATTACTTATGTATAATTATGTATAAAATTATGTATAATTGTGTATATGAGCAATTTTTTTTTCATTTTTTCAAACTTGTTTTTTTTTTCTAAAACGAACAATGCGAAAATTATCCCTTTAATTATTTTTGATGTTTTCACATTACTATTACTATTTCTATTACACTAAAAAGTAATTTTACAAGAGAAAAAAGGATGTATGGATTATATTTCATATAAAATTATGTATGTTTATGAATATTTATACGTGTTTGTGTATGTTTAGACATATTTATACATATTCATGCATAAAAAATTTTTTATCGGGGAGTCTCTCAACATTGAACACTATGCCATCTTTAATTTAAAAAATGAAATTTTGGATAAAATACATCTTGAAAGTCTGCTCCTCATATGTTGCATTAACTCTGCATAACATGATACTTGTATAGTTATCACCTATATAATTGTTATAACTATGTCTTTTTCTCTGAGTATATATTATAAAAAGTAAAATCCATGTGTGGGGTACTATCCTTATTATTTACTTATTTCAAATGACATCATTTATATAAAAGATTTGACATTTATTTCGATATCTTTATGTTACTATTACAGATGATCGTCGTTTTGATATACCTTGACATTTTTATACTATAATTATAAAACGATGGGGGTGGCGG